AAGCCACCTGCATCATAACCTTCCTTCCCGTCTAGCAGTCTGAACAGCCTGATGTGCTTCTTCTGTGAATTGTCCTCCTCCTTACAAGACAGGCAGTGTGATTATTAACTACCTTTAACAATAAGATGTGACACTCTTTCCCATCTCTTTCTGTTGTTTTTTTGTTCTGGTAATAATCCACTATTTACAAGATGGCATCCATCTTCTTATCCAGATCCTGCATTGCAAACAGTCCCGATTTGACTAAAGACACTGCAGACAATGAGTCTTCTTTTGAGTACCAGTCATTTAAAGAGATAAAGGAGAGGAAATTGACCAATTTAGCAAAAAAAAAGGTAATGAGCTTTTTGCTACCAACCTTCTCAGTCCCCAAAACAAGTGATATTCCCATGTAAAAACATCTGGAAGTACACGCTTAAGATAAAATGTTTGATGAATATTTTTGTGATGCTTTAAGGTACATGTTTGATTGCTGTTTTAGAAATGCTGATTTTAAAAATGCAACTTAGCATCTTAGAAAAAAAACTAAAATAACTAGACATCACAACTAAACTTCTATCTGCACAGCCACAGTGACAGTGACACAGGTACAATTCCTCCTAAACCCCTCCATGAGACAGTAATAACATAGTCGCATGTGCTATGGACAGCATGGATCCAGTCACTCAGGGACCCCTCAAAACAGTTCAATATCCATGTGATCACCCTTAGCACAAAGACATACAAACAACTTGGGGCTGGAACGTTGTACACAATCCATAGAAAGGATTCTCTTTCAGGGTGCTTCCATACATTTATGAAAAGATCATCTTAACATTGTACTAACCATACAAAAATGTACTCAGACAGTTATTGTTCAAAAAAGCACCTTTATTTGTGATTATACTGGCAGGTCGTGGATCCAAATTTGAATGAAAACACTGTCCAGTCTGGTGTCATGTTAATTAATGCATAATCTTAAATAAGAAAAACTTTCCATAGTAGTACTTATACTACCTACAAAGATTAGTAAAATTTCAATGTCTCCATGCTCTAACCTGAAGGACATCTACTGTATAAGCACTACACATTCAGCACTGCATGAACACTCTCACAGATGTTTTCTCTTTTCTGCCCTTCCTATATTTTCTGCTATTTGATTACAACTTCTACACTAGATACTCAAAAGCAAGTACATAACTCATACGAATTAAGTTGACACCAACTGGGATTGAGGTAACAATTGAATTCTCGAGCTGTAATGCAGAATGTTGAATACTCATCCAATCTCTGTGGATTCAGATTTCCAGCGGACACAAAAGGAACAGCGACAAGCTGTTGCTGCATCCAATTGGCATCCTCTGGCTCGGTGCCAGTCTGTCCTGGTGTG